TTTTTTTTTTTTTTTTTTTTTTTTTAATCATTAGGAGATGCTTTCCCTTGGACTATTAGCCTGCATCATTTCAGTGTATATACTCTTCTTGGACAACAAATGACACTTAATTTAGTGGAACCCATGGGCTGCACGTCTACACTCGCTGTCACTTCACAAAAACTGGTTGCTTCAGGGTCAGAATACAGACACTCGTTTGTTGTCTGCCTCCACGTCGACCTTGAGTCACTTGAAATAAAATGCTCAAACCCCCAGGTTGGTCCATTTAATTGATTTATGAAAGGAAATTAAAAATAACTTGATTTAAGTACAATTGTGCTGCATTTTGTTGGAAAGCTTTTTCTATTAGACATCTTAATTTTTTTTTAACTGGGCCATCAAGATCAGGGTGCTTAGATTAAGATTTGCTTTGAAGCTCTCTCAAGTTTTGTAATTTAAACTCTTCTCAAAATGTAATAGCTAGAGTATAAATGCATCATTTGGCTGATGGAAAGAAATCAGTTGCAGATGTACTATTGTTAAATGCTGAAATGCTGAAATGCTGTCACTGTGGATGTATATACTGAAATAGCCTAATGCAGTTTTTGGTCAGATTCTCATACAGCTAGTCACTGACTTAAAATGGGATGTTTTTCAAACTAGCAGTAACATCCTTTATTATAGGGGAAAACAGAATGGAAGGTTTGTAAAACAGTGCATATATAACCATAGAGTTATTAATTAAACTAAAGGTAATATTGTATGTTCTTCTGAAAAGTATATGACTAAGGCACTGAAAGTGTGCTTGATGCTGTACAAAACACTACATTAAAAAATTCCACTGTGAAAGGGTTGACTATGAACAAAGAAAAATGGTCAAAATTCTTAACTAAAAGAAAAAGCTACTAGAATGTAAATATGCGCTCGCTCACGCGTGCGCGCTCTCTCTCTCTCTCTCTCTCTCTTTCTCAAATGAAGTTATATCAAGCATTAATAAGTTCTCATCTGGTATATGCTCACTTATGTTATAAAAGTCTATAGTTTCATGGCTTAAATAACAGTCCATCCTGCTTTACTTGCTACATATTATTCATGCAGTGAGTGGATGGTCCAGGGTAAGAGAACTGGAAGACAGGTGATAAATCACAGCACAAGATCACATAAGAATAAAAATAAAAACTTAAACTTCTCTATTTTCAGTTTTCTATGAATTCTCATTGAATTAGGTAAAATTGCGCCAACTCAAGCTAACAGTGAATGTTTCTCAAAACTGTCTTTTATGTATTTCTGAACTTCAGAGACTGTAGACCTAATAGATCTTAATTGCCTGATAAAAGCAGTAATAGTACTATTTGATGACAACCATACATTAAATGCCTTCAGGGTACAGACAAACATATACTTTGGCCACTTTAAAAGGAAAGGAGGGGCTGTTGCTCAGGAGGGTGCATCAGCTGTTACTGTAATTGTTACATGTTCATGAGTCTAGCAATACAAGTGAGCTGAATTGCCCTAACTTTGAACCTGAATGATCAGGGTTAAACAGCTAAACTTTGTTAAACTGTGTCTGTCCATATCCTAAGAGAACCATTTTTCTCTATTTGATTGATATGCTTTCAGTGGGAAAAGTCAGTAGTTTAGTCACTTCTGGATTTTTCCCCCTAAACTTACACAGGCTTTAATCTTACCTTTACACCATTAGTATATTACTGTATAAGATTTAAATAAACCTATCCGACTCAATTAAAATGCACTTTTCTAAGGCCCCCTCTACACATTACAGCTATTATGTGACTAACTGATCGATTGCACAATTTAACTGAAACCAGCTACACATGCAAAGTACCTGTCTCACTATAAACAGGTCCAACCAGCTATAAAGTTAGATCTTGAACATATGTGCTAACTTTATAGCTGGTTGCTATCCAGCTTGAATTAGCATATGTAGCAGGTCCTCCCTGCAAGTGGAAGCCCTGTCAGCTAACCGGGCTCTCAGTAGCAGGTATGCATCATGCCCAGCCAGGGCTGGGAGTCCTGCAGCTGAGGGACCTCTCCACCCCCACAGCAACCAGTAGCTGTGGGACACTGGGTCCTGGGTGCTGTGGGGGGTGCGGCTGTGATCTCCCAACCCTGGGGCTACATGGTGTGCCCTTGCAGCCTGGAGATCAGAAAAATCTCAATATATGCATCAGTCCCCTCATAAGAATATGTTCTTTATAAAAATTTAGATATAAGCTGAAAAAATAGCATTACATACTTTCCCCAATAAAAATAAATAATTATATTAATTTTATATATGAACTTTATATATACACTTTTATACATATATTCTCCTAATACTGAACAGAATTACTGCCTTAATGAAGAGTATTTTAAAGCATCATTTCTTCAGCTGGGGGGAACCATTGATAACAGACTTCGTCAGTAGGCGGTTTGTGATCATGCATGCGAGTATGGAAGTAACAGCATCCCTCCACAGTTTTTGCTTGTGCCTTTATAACTAAGCAGGGTACTAAAACTGTCAAAATTCTGCTTCCTCAGGGCCACAGTTGCTTAAATTACCCACACGTCACTTGACTAACAAAGATATTGGTGCCAGGACCTCAGGGGTCTGTGGGGAGTTACAAGGATGTACAGTTTGGGTCTGTTCCAATGTCCTATTAATTTCCCTGAAAGGCTTTTAGTAGAATAATCTATATTAGTTAACAAGATACAATTCAGTCAGATAAAATTCTGAAGAGTGTTATCATGTCTGTCATTCTGAAAGTGCTTTTCTACAAGGATGTAGAAGCCATCTGTGAAATCTGTAAGTAACAGTTTTTGAATAAAATCGTTTAATGACAAAAATTGGTTACAGTGATTAAAACGAATGTCATTGCATATCAAAGTATGAGGGTCATGAGGCATTCTTTAAGCATTACTAAAACAAATTTGCTGCAGACAAAATGGCCATCATTGTTGACTATTATTTTTTATGCGTGAAGATATAAAGTACATTTGAGCTATTAAGGCACTTTAACAGAAAAACGTGTCAAAAGTATATGACCTGCTCATTGTAAGCCTTGAAACTTCAAAAGAAAAATCAAGATGTATTAAGGAGGTTTTTGTAAAATTCCAGTGCTTTACCTCTTAAGAAAAGACTGTAGCATGATCTTTGAGAATTCATCACACTCACACGCACAAAATCAAGTACTGTTTTATATCAAATCTAGATTGACGACAGTGTTTTCCTTCATCTGTTCTTCCCACATAAGAAGCCAGTTTCATAGACTGGATGTGTCCTGGGGCTGAAACCTCTTATAAATATGAGAATTTTCATTTTTTATAATGGCAAGCTGGGTATGGTATCCAGCTGTGGGTCTGCTTATGTATTGTTTGCAGTTTTCTCTGGGCTTGTTTTATACAGTATGTGGCAATATGTTGTCATACAAATTCCATGATTAATGCTTATTTACAAAAGATTGTGTAAATATCTTAGAACTGAGTCAAACAATGTGCAAGTTAAACAGCATGTTTTCTGAATTTTGGAATGACATATCCCAGGAGAGTATTGAGTTGGATAGTGGATGTTCTTTCTCCGTAGAGAGAGCAGTTTCATGTGCTTCATGGAATTGTCATTTTAATATGATTTTTAAAAGGAATTTCTCTATACGTTCAGTGTAATTCATTATGTTCATACTTGTGTATGCAAACTTGCCTTTTTGTTGGAGTCCTCTAAAAGGACAATCAGTTTCTGTATTTGTTAAATAAGCCAGAAATTATTTATTTCTTTTTATTGTTAAAACTAATGAAAATTTTCCAAGGCCAGGGTTGTGACTAATATTTTTATGAGCTGCATATTGTAGTTTGATTTGTCTACTGTATGTTTAGACAAGTCTCTCTCATCAAAACCAACATGCCCTAGGTATCATAAATTCATTTTATAGCAATTCAGTTGCTTATCAGGGCACTATGCATTGTGAAATCTCAAGTTCTGTTTTGTAGTTTAAATCTCAGCAGAGGAGTTTGACTGTGGTGATTTTTCTACACCTAATTATGAAGAACTCCATTTTTAATTTTTTTTTTCCTTCTAGGTTCAGCTGCTATATGAATTGGCAGATATCATGGGTAAAGTCTGGACTAAGATGCAGAAGAGAGGTATTCTGTATCAGTCATCCATTTATGTGGAGTCTGTGGCAGGGCCTGCTCCTCCTAGTTCTCCAGTTAAAAGTAGCGTTGGTACCGCTCCACCAGATATCAGCACATATAGCCCATCTGCTGACCTCGGGACCACAACAGAGGTGAGTTTTTCTGAAAAATAATATCAAGTAAAGGAAATCTATGAAGTATGGCAAGTAGCTAATTAAAAATCACAAGGCTAAAAAAAGTAACACCTTTCCTATGTAGAGTTATAACCATGTAATGATGCAGTACTCTAAAATTTGGGAAATAAGTGGAGAAAAAGAAAATGATTGTTGTATATCTGGCTCACCTTGGTTAGAATTGGCTAAATGCTGATTCTTTTATAAAGTGCAAGAAAATAACATGCAAGTGGTTTTGTTAAATTATTATTTGAATGGTAGTGATGAATGGTTTATGTTTGTGCCTCCTTTTGCCCCAGTATTTCACAAGTGGTTAGGATAAATTGGGCTGGGAATATGTCTTCAGTGGGTGTGTCTACATGAGATGCTTTACTGCGCAGTAGACCAATTTACTGTGCAGTAAGCATCACCATCTACATGTGCAGACACTTACTGTGCAGTCAATTGGTCTACTCCATGGTTAACTTGCTGTTTGCAAATGCAGGTGGCAAATTAACTGTGAAGTAGTTACTGCAGAGCCAGGACCAGGAGCTCTTTGCTGCTGGGGCAGGGGGACATTGTCCCAGCCTGGGCTTCACCATTGGAGCCCACCCCAGCAGCAGGCAGCTCTCGGGGGCAGGGATCAATTTCCCAGCCCTTGCTTCAATCATAGAGCCAGGAACTCCCTGCATGTGGAGAGTTCCCTGCCCAGCCTGGGGGAGGTCCCAGCCAGCTCCATATTACACATACAGACTTCCCTGTCCCAGTCTGGGGGAAGTCCCAGCCCCGCAGCTCTTTCCCAGGCCCATGACCCAGTTGGCTGACCAAGGCATGGGGCTTGGAAGAGGGGCAGGTCCCACCCCCTGCACTGATCCACCAGTGGGGCCGTTAGCAGCGAGCCTCTAGCTGGGCAGGGAATCTCTGCCCAGCTGAGGGCTCACTGCTAGCTGCCCCACTGGTGGGACAGCTTCCAGTTTCCCCTGGCTGAATGCAGAATCCCTGCCCAGCCTAGGGCTCACTGCTAGCTGCCCCACCAGCAAATCAGGGCAGGGGGCTGGGATCTGCCCCTAACCCACAGCTCTTTCCCAACCCCCTGGGCTCAGTCACAGAGCTGGGGTTGGGAGCTGCCTGCTGCCGGGGCAGGGGGATATTGTCCTGGCCCAGGCTCCACCACTAGAGCCTGCCCCAGCAGCAGGCAGTTCCCAGGGGCAGGAACCAATCTTCTAGCCCCCACCAGGGGGGCAGAGCAGCAGAGTGGAGGCAAATCTGCTCCCAAGAGGGAGAACATACAGATATGCTCCCCAGTAGGCTTGCTGCACAGTATTTTTACTGTGTAGTAAGCCGACTTTGAATTTATTGCACATGTAGACATGCCCAGTGTGTACCTGATCATAGCCCATATGGGTTGCACAAGGTTATATAGATAAACATAGTTAAGCTGGGAAAGGAATCTTCCTTCTCTGCCATGCTGCTGAATCAAAGGTGGTTCTCTACCTACATCTGTGCATCCTCTATGGATGCAGTACCTATGAAGTAGTTATTATTTGGCTGATATAGTATGACTTGTGGTTGTGCAAACTGGACAACAAACTTGATGCTTGTAATTTTGCAGGACTATGGCTGTCAAGGTTGGTTGCTTCAATTAATCAGTTGTCCTGATTTTGCTGTAAGTTCAGGTCATGGCTGTACAGATGAATAAGGGGATAGCTAATAAGCACATGAGGATGGGATAGGTATCAGTACCTTGCCAAGTTTTATGGAGTGCCTGTTTCTTAGATAGATATGAGCATGTGGCTAAACCAGTTCTGAAGCAACTGCTTCTTGTCCAAAGCCTGAGACACAAATATGGAATAGTAGATTACAGGAACAGTGTTGTCCAACTAGCAGTTTTCATTCTGGAATTAAGCAAAGTTGTAACCAATGTTGCTTTATACAAGGGTTGGGCAAAATATGGCCTGCAGGCCAAATTTGGCCCACCAGTTGACCCTATCCGGCACTCCAGCGACCATCAAGAGCCTGAAGAGAGAGGGCTGTGTCCTTGGCCCGGCAGGGCCACAAAGTACACAGACTCCTCTACCCTCCACACACCCCTGTATCTATTGCCCCCTGCCACCCAGCTTCCTGTTGGTGCTGCGTCTATGTAGTTCTGGCACCACGGCCACTGGCAGCCAGACCCACATGGGATAGGGTGCCATGTAGCATGCTGAGTAGCTGTCCCACCTGCTGCACTGAGCTACTGCTGCTGCAGCACCACTAGGAGGTGAGTCTATGCTGCCATGGGTGGGGCTCGGCCTGAGGCAGCAACTGCCAGCTTTGTTAGTGTGGCATGGCAGCAGGACCTCATCATGGCAGGCAGGTGGGCGGGACAGCTACTCGATGCACTGTATCACACCCTGTACCATGAAGGCCAGGTTGCTGGTGGCCATGGTGCCAGGACTGCACAGCATCAATAGGAAGTCAGGTGGTGACAGGGCAGGAATGGATGTGGGAGAACAGAAGAGTCTGCATACTGTGCAGCCCAGCCCAGCTCCAGCTGCGGCAAAACAGAGCAGCTCAAGGCACAGCCCTCCCTCCTCAGGTTCCCAACAGCAGCCAGTGGGTTGGATAGGATCAGTTGGCATCTCCTCCTCCTCCCCCCGCCCCGCTCCACCCCCGTCCCTCAAGAACTCACTGAAACTCCTTAAGTGGCCCTCCAGCCAAAATAATTGCCTGAACATGCTTTAAACCCTATTCAGGTAAAGTACATGAATTTCAAGGCAGTGTCTACAAAAAGTGAGAGAGAGGGATCTGAATGACTGACTTTCACATAAAATTAAAAAGATGATTGTCATAAAAAAAAAGTTTGCCTGAGCTGCCATTCATTTTTTTATGTCAGTTCCACAGCAGGACTTTCCTTGGGTTTGCTTTATTAATATGTATGTTTATTATCTCTCATGCAAGATCCAGTCATGGGTACAAAATTGAAGATAAACAACTGCGGCAAAATGGTGTGGTCACCAAACCAACATTTTAATACCTACTGACATTAAAGCCCTTGTTTATTAAAGCCAGTAACCACCACTTCCATAAATAGCAGTGTGCTTTTCTTCCTCTTATGGAGAGTGCCATTTTTAGTGTATATTTTGTATCCAAGCACTACCTGAAACCGATTCAGTATTTTTTTTTAATTCATTAGTGGCCAAGATGGTTGTGGTAATATTGAACCAAGTTAAATCTCCATCTTCTTTTTCCTTAAATTGTTTTTCACCGTTTATTTTGCCTTTCATTTCTTCTCTTGTTTTCAAGAAAATGTTAAATCCCAGCCAAGCAAAATTTGTCTTGACCTGAACCTAAACCAGGTTTTGTGAATTACCCAACAGAGGATAATATTAGAAAATGCTGCCAACAGTTTTCCTCTCTGAAGCTAAGAACATCAGATCAGCCAGCTAGCTGTGTGTTCAGCAGTAAGAGTCAATATAGTTGCCCAGTGTTTGATTTAAAGCATCGCTGAAACTTCACACAGATTTACTAGCTTTCGTAATACAAATGTGCATTGGATTATCATGCAGCATAATAATTTCAGTGTATCTGTGTTTTCATAAAATCATATATTGTTCTATATAAAACATTTGTTTTTGTATGCCTTTGAATTCTAGTTCTAAGACAACTGGAAGATATGTAGTAGTGGAGAACTGTATGTAATTTATGACTTACGAGAAAAGCAAAAGTAATATTTAAAGTATGTTAAAGTAAAGTTAGGTGTTTGTGCCAGAATGGGATCATATTACATAGAAACTCAGATTTAAACCTATATGACTGATAGCATGTCATAATAGAATACTTAAAAATAGGGGTGCACCAATAGAGATTTTGGAGACTGGTACTGATAGCCGATTTTTAAGGAGGTATATCGGCTGATACCAATCTGATTTCCAATGCAGCATGGAGAGCTGCATGTAGCTGGTAAGTCTGTTGTGCTGGGAGGGAAGGGGAACAGATCAACATCCACCGTGGTGAGGGAGGGGCTGGGGCAGGTGCTGCCCAGCCAGGGCAGGGCACGGGATGGAGCTGCAGCTCATCAGGGAGGTGCAGGGGAGGGGTGGCAGCTCCCAGTCCTGCACACAACACCAGAGGGTAGAGGGGCATGTGCCCCCAGATCTGCATGGGGTGGGGCGGGCAAGCTGCATCTGCAGGCTGGAGCCAGGGCTGCACCAGACTCTTCTCAGTGGGGCGTGGACTCAGAGAGGGTGGCTATGGAGGGGGCTGCAGTCACCCCAGATTTCTCCATAACCCCACTCCCAGTGCTGCTGTCACTCTCCTGGTGCAGCCCCAGTTCAACGCCCTGCCTCCCCCCAGGCATCGGGAAGAGCTGGGGCTGCACCAGGCGCACAGCAGCAGTGAAATTTGGAGTGGCTGCAGCTCCCCCATAGCCTCCTGCCAAGAAGAGCCTGGCTGCCTGCCAACCCCATCCAGTGCAGATCCAGGGACACATGCTCCCCCCCATGCTATCCCTAGGTGCATGCAGCAGTGGAAGCTGCCCCCTCATGAGCCGTGGCTCCGTCCTGAGCCCCATCCCACCCTGGTTGGGTAGCACCTGCCCCTGTCCCCCTCACACCACTTCCCTCCCCCCACACACTTCCTCCCTCCCCACTCCCCTTCCACCACAATGGACTTACCAGCTGCACACAGCTCTCCATACTGCGAGGTTGTGCTCATTGCTGCCTGCGTGCTGTGCTGTGGCTGATGCTCATGTCCAGGCATTTATCTGGGAAATTATCAGCCGCATCAAGTCAATTTCTGATGCAGCTAATTTTCTTTATATCAGTACTGATCCAATATCGGACCGATAGATCAGTGCACCTCTCCTTAAAAATGTCCATGGTTACAGGTGCACTAATAAAGATAGCCGATTATTCACTAGGCATATAGGCCGATACTGATCTGATAACCGATTTACAGGAGCACAGCTAGGCAGTGTGGAGAGCAGCTTCCTGCAGATAAGTCTGTGGAGGGGAAGGGGA